GGAAGGACCAGTGTTGAAGCTGAAACTCCAATAGTTTGGCCACCTGATGTGATGAACTGACTCATTTGAAAAGACCCTGGTGCTAGGAAAGATTGAGGGCAGGAGGAAAAGGGGACGACAGAGGATGAGATGGTTAGATGGCATCACCGACTCAATGGACATGAGTTTGGGTGGACTCCGGGAGTTGGTGATGGACAGGTAGGCCTGGCGTGCTATGGTTCATGGGATCACAGAGTCGGACACAACTGAGTGACTGAACTGAACTCTTAACTACTAGCACAAGCTGGACAACTAGGCTGTATTCTGTGAGGTGTTGTGCTCAGTATCAAATTAAGACTTCTATTACTAGGGATAAAGAGAATGGTATTTGGGACAGTAAGCAGGGTCTGCTACACAAACCGACAAGGCTGACCTGAATCCTGCAAACTTGCTCCTAGAATCTTAGCAAAGAGATCCCCATTTCAAACACTGCAGACAGAAGAAGGTGTCAAGTGACACCAACCATGGCTCATTCATTGAAAAGGATGGAAGGGGTTGGGGGCTGGAATGGAACTGAGGTTATGAGTCAGTCCTCCTAGCCCGTGGCCTGGAACAGCAGCCCGGAGAACAGGGATCTTGCTCCTGAAAAGGACTAAAGACCAGACAGAAGTGAAGACGGAAGTAGAGAAGAGTTGTTTCTTTACAACAACTGAAGAACCAATGAGTCAAAAGTTGAAAGACATACCTAGCCTTTACTTTAGAAAGCAGTATTCTCAAATATATAGAGATAAGGATTTGGAAAACAGAAAAAATATCAGCTACAGTCCTGTCATCAGTATACCACTTTTGGAATATTTATTTCTGGGCTTTTGTTTTCCTGAGACATTTCTTTGTTTTTGCTTTAAATATACTTAATATAAAATAAAGGCTCTGTTGGGATTTCCCTGCTGGTCCAGTGGCTAGGACTCCACATTCCTAATGCAAGGGGCCCAGATTCAATCCCTGGTCAGGGAGCTAGATCCCACATGTCACAACTAAAAATTCCTGCATGCTGCAACTAAGATCCTACATGCCACAGTGAAGATTGAAGATTCCATGTGCTGCAACTAAGATCTGGCACAGCCAAATACATAAACAAATACATTTTTTGAATGCTCTGATTATGGCTTGAGTTTTTATCCTCAGCCGGGGTGACCACAGATAATCTACTTAACATCACTGTGCTCACCCTTCTCATCTATGAAGTGGGAATAAATAATACCTACCTTGTAGAGCTGTTCTGAGGATTAAATGAGATATTTCATGTGATGAGCTAAGAACAACTTCTGTAAACCTTTATTATTTGTATATATAATTTTAACAGTTATATAGAATTCCAACCACTGGACTTTTCAGCATAATCACGCTCCTATTGCTGAACATTGGATGAATTTTCAGTTGGGGGGTTACTATAAAGTTTGAAGTATTTTAATACATTTATCTCTTTTATACTTAGGCCTATTACTTAAGCAACATCTTCAGAGTCTTCTCTGAAGATTTTAGAACATTTCATTTAAGCTGGGTTGTGGGTACATGAGTATCCATTGTATTGATACCTAATATAATTTTCTTTTAGAATGCCTAAAAAACTTCATTTAAAAACTATACTCAATGAAATAAGGCATTTAATAATCAAATGCTTATATACAAAAGTGTCAAAGTAATTCAGACTCCACTATTAAAGTGAGGAAAAATAACTTACATGAGAGCTGACTAAAAGACAGAGATGGGGATCTTTTCAGCTCTTCACAGGCCAACCACATGCCAGGCACCTCCTGGCTTGTCACCATTGCTCATTCTCTACACTCCAGGTAAAAGTTACACTCACGGTTTTTATTTTTTAATTTTTTTATATTTTTTTTTAATTTTTATTAGTTGGAGGCTAATTACATCATTACAGTAGTTTTTGTTATACATTGAAATGAATTAGCCATGGATTTACATGTATTCCCCTTCCCAGTCCCCCCTCCCACCTCCCTCTCCACCCGATCCCTCTGGGTCTTCCCAGTGCACCAGGCCCGAGCACTTGTCTCATGTACCCAACCTGGGCTGGTTATCTGTTTCACCCTAGATAATATACATGTTTCAATGCTGTTCTCTTGAAACATCCCACCCTCGCCTTCTCCCAGAGTCCACAAGTCTGTTCTATACATCTGAGTCTCTTTTTCTGTTTTGCATATAGGGTTATCGTTACCATCTTTCTAAAGTCCATATATATGTGTTAGTATACTGTAATGGTCTTTATCTTTCTGGCTTACTTCGCTCTGTATAATGGGCTCCAGTTTCATCCATCTCATTAGAACTGATTCAAATGAATTCTTTTTAATGGCTGAGTAATATTCCATGGTGTATATGTACCACAGCTTCCTCATCCATTCGTCTGCTGATGGGCATCTAGGTTGCTTCCATGTCCTGGCTATTATAAACAGTGCTGCGATGAACATTGGGGTGCACGTGTCTCTTTCAGATCTGGTTTCCTCGGTGTGTATGCCCAGAAGTGGGATTGCTGGGTCATATGGCAGTTCTATTTCCAGCTTTTTAAGAAATCTCCACACTGTTTTCCATAGTGGCTGTACTAATTTGCATTCCCACCAACAGTGTAAGAGGGTTCCCTTTTCTCCACACCCTCTCCAGCATTTATTGCTTGTAGACTTTTGGATAGCAGCCATCCTGACTGGCGTGTAATGGTACCTCATTGTGGTTTTGATTTGCATTTCTCTGATAATGACACTCACGGTTTTTAAAACATGCCTTGCATTTCCCTTGCTCCTTCATTTGATCTGTTTCTTCTGCAATGTATTCTCTTCTCCATCTCAACTTGCCAAAATCCTTACCAGTTTTCAAGCTTTGATTCAATGTTTTCAAAATAACTCCCCCACAGTGTGCTATTATTTTTTTTTTAACACCAAGAAAATGTTTTAATTAAACTACAGAAACAATGGCTATAGTACAGAATATTCATGAGCAAAAAGATACACCATGTTATAAGTACTTACAAAATTACAAACCATTTGTTTGCTTCCTTAACATTTTCCATATTTTAAGTTCGTACATGAAGATGATCAGATTTACCATTTTGGGGGGGAAGAAGAAAAAAAAAAGGTGTATTTATCATCACTAGATGTGCTCACTGTATGTGCTATTAATAATAAAAGCTATGTACGCATGGCATCACCAGTGCAGTCATTGGGTATGATCATAAAGGCTCTCTCATTTCATCCTGGGAACAATTCTGTGAAGTAGGCAAGGGATGGTAAGTCCTTATTCCTCCCATCTTGGAGGCCTGCTCCTGGAATCAAAGTTCCTCTGCACCACCCTATAACCCTTGCCAGTGAGTAAAACACACAAGCAAACCCTTAACACTCTTCTCCCTGCAATCTGTGGGCTGACAAATGATGTTAACAAAAGTAAACAGACAACATAATATAATTTAATATAATTTAATAAATAACTGCTTTTGTATTGCTGTTTTGTTTTTTGCTTTGTATTTTTTTTTTCCTCCAAGTGCCACGTGGGATCAGTTTCCCAACAAAGGATCAGACTCAAGTCCCCTGCAGTGGAAGTGCAGAGTCTTAACCTCTGAACGCCGGGGAGGTCCCACTTTAAGGATATTTTAAGCAATAATACTCTTCCAGGTCATGCTCTCCAATCCAAGGAGGAAAGGTATGTGTGTGTACCAAGTCACTTCAGTCATGTCCAACTCTTTGAGATCCCATGCAGCCCGCCAGGCTCCTCTGTCCATGTGATTCTTTGCACCCTGAGTGAGCTTTGGCAGTTTGTCTCTCAAGGACATAGTCAATTTCGTAAAAGTTTATCAGCATAAAGCTGCCAATAAATATTATTGCTGTTTCAATGTCCCGATCGGATCTGTAGTGGCGTCTCTTCTTATTGCTACTGCTGCTGCTAAGTCACGTCGGTGGTGTCCGACTCTGTGCGACCCCATAGACGGCAGCCCAACAGGCTCCTCTGTCCCTGGGATTCTCCAGGCAAGAGTACTGGAGTGGGTTGCCATTGCCTTCATCTCTTCTTCCTAACACTCCTAATTTGTGTCTGTCTTTTCCCTTATTATTCTAGCTACTGCATGCATGCTCAGCGGCTCAGTCGTGCCTGATTCTTTCCAGCCCTGCCGAACTAGAGATCGATCTTACTAGCTGTATGCCACAAATTTTGCTATTTGTATTTTCATTTTATTCAATTAAAGATATTTTCCAATTTCCCTAGACTTTTTTGAACAGGGGGTATTTAAAAGTGTGCCGTCCGATTTCCAAATATTTGTAGATTTTTTTTTTTTTGGTAGATTTTTCAGATGCTATTTTTAGGCTAATTTCTCCATAGTCTGAGAATATATTTTGTGTGGTTTCAATCCTCTTAAATATATTATTTTATGGCCCAGAATATAGTCTGTTCTGGTGAATGTTTCATGAACATTTGCAAAAAATGCTCTACTGTTTTTGGATGGTGGTGGTTTAGCTGTTAAGTTGTGTCCAACTCTTGGGACCCCATGGACTGTAGCCTGCTGGGCTCCTCTGTCCAGGGGATTCTCTATGCATGAATACTGGAGTGGGCTGCCATGAGTCCTCAAAGGGGATCTTCCTGACCCAGGAATTGAACCTGCTCTCCTGTGACTCACTCTTGCATTGCAGGTGAATTCTCTACCACTGAGCCACCGGCGAAGCCCAAGGAAAGGTATACTATACCTAATTAGATGTAGAAAGCTATGTGAATCCTAGACAGACAGGCAACCTCAGATCTGAAAGCCACTATTTTAAACTGAATGTCTGTGTCCACCCTCCAATATGATAGTATTAGATAGCCTTCAGGAGGGGATTAGGTCATGGTGATGCAGTCCTTATGAACAAGATCAGTGCCCTTATAAGAAGAGACATAAGACAGCCTGTTCTCTCTGTGCCTTCTGACATATGGAGACACAACAGGAAGCAAGTTCTTACACGCTGTGACTTTGACTTTTTATTTGTGAGAGAGGAAGAGCTCCTTTCTCAAAGTGTGCTGCAGCCAGACGTAGTACCGCTCCTTAGCAGACACTTTGATGTTCCAATCATACACCAGGCTGTTGAGTTCAGTGTGGAGCTCCAGGAGTGAGTGCTTTCTGCAGGGAACGGGAAAGGCAAAAATTAATCCCATGCGATTATCAATGAGGAGACAGATTATCATCAGAATGAAATCAACTCACAGATATGAAAGTGCTGTAAAACTGTGCCTTTCTAAATAGTCTACAAGCTGCTTAGCACATGATCTGAACAGGTTTGCTGCAGTCTGGTACGATGACCACAGTCCACTCCCCCAAGGGGCAACTCTGTGCAAATGCATAATGAATGTAAAAGGCCAGGCCAACGATGTGGCTGGCCCATGGCGTTTCCACCTTGGAAGGCTGAGTCACCCCTGCTCTAGCCCTCCCCTTACTGTTGAGCCATCCCCGAGGAGGCGAGGTGTCCCAGACCCTGAGATTTATTCCTGGGGTCCCCCAAGTGACAAAAGATGCCTTTCACAAGTGACTTGGAGATACTCTAAATTGTTATTAGTGGGCAACTGAAAAGGGGCTACTAATCTTACATTTGAGGCACAGTGAGGCTTGCTTCCACCTAAAGGAACACCAGATCACTAATGGTTCCCTTAGAAAAGTATTCTTGCCAATAAACATAAAAAATGTCCAAGTAACAAAGACTTGCAAACCTGTACACTCTGGTACCATTTTTTACCCATCAAATTGTCAAGACGTGGGGAAATAAAAGAGCACACATCATTAGTGAGAACTCAGGGATGTAGACAGTCTCATAAAAGTAGGCCTATGGGGATTCCCTGGCGGTCCAGTGGTTAGAACTCAATGCTCTCGCTACCAGGCTTCTGGGTTCAATCCCTGGTTGAGAAACTAAAGTCCCTCAAGCCACATGGCATGGCCAAAATATTTTTGAAAAGCTGGTCTAACTATCCTAGAAGACAATCCTGGTAAGATGTATCAAAGGTTTTTAACATGCTTATTGGAATTCCCTGGTGGCCCAGTACTTAAGAGTCTGCCTGCCAATGCCGGGGACAAACGTTTGATCCCTGTTCTCGGAAGATTTCACAAGCCACAGGGTAACTAAGTCTGTGTGCCACAATTACTGAGCCCATACTCTAGAGCCTGTGCTCAGCAACAAGGGAAGTCACTGCAATGAGAAGTCCACAGACTGCAAGGAAGAGCAGCCACCACTCTCTGCAGCTAAAGAAAAGCCTGAGAGCAGCAAGGAAGACCCAGGGAGGTTGCAAATAAATAAACAAATTTTTTAATGCTGGTCATTTGACACAGTAATTCCACTTCTGGGAATTTTCCCTTCAATAAAACAATTATGAATAAGCACAAATACTGACCTGAAAAAACGTAAACATATTGCCCAATGCAAAACGTTGCCCAACAGCTAAAGACTGGCCAAGGAAATTATGCTATAACCACATTAGGGACTACTCGGCAGATAGTAAAATGCTATAGAAATGTGATTCCTGGCATGTAAAAATAAGCTGTTACACAAGCTAAAAGCATGTTATAAAGTAACAGTAGATTGTTATTTCATTTTGGCTTAAAAAATATGTTTAATTGTATGGGATTCAAAAAAGATCTGGAAGGCAATACATTGAGATTTGGTTAAACAGGTTGGTTCTGGTAAGTTGGATTAAAACTGCTTGTTATGTTCTGCTTTCAGCATCTATATCTCATGGTTCTGTTGTTGTTGTTTTTTCAGTAAGGAGCATGCATTGCTTTTGTAATAAGAAAAAACAAACATTTCTTAATTTTGAAGAAAAATATCCAAACCACAAGCTCTACTAAATTCCTTCTAAGGCACAAAGCATTCATAAACTGTGAAGAATCTATCTCAGACTCTTAAGGCAACCCCATCAAGGAATGAAAAAAATCCCCCTAAAGAGAAGGGCATCAAACAGTGGCACTTCCATCTTTTTGCATGTGTGCATGCTAAGTCACTTTAGTCGTGTCCATTTCTTTGCGACCCTAAAGACTGTAGCCTGCCAGTCTCCTCTGTCCATGGGATTCTCCAGGCAAGAATACTGGAGTGGATTGCCATGCCCTCCTCCAGGGGATCTTCCCAACCCAGGGGTAGAACCCACATCTCTTATGTCTCCTGTGTTGGCAGGTGGGTTTTTTCAACACTAGCACCACTTGGGAAGACCCTTCCGTCTTGGCAGCAGAAAATAAACAAATTGGGGCCAGGATCCACCACAGCTTGGGTGGCTTACCTTTCTTGCCACAGTTTCTGGGAGAGGCACTGCAGGTACAGTGAGGGTGAGCTGGAGGGCCCCTCCAGCAGGGACACATCTGCTCTGCACAGGCTCCAGAAGAAGTCAGCTTCTCGGTGAATCAAATCTCGGTAGGCCCCAGGCTTCCCGGCCTTGGACTCTGCACTTTTCACTGACGGCCCATCCACCTCCAGGAAGCTGCTGCCCTCCAGCTGCCCCTCTGATTTCACATAGCTCTGAATAAAAAAGAGCTTTGGCTTCCCTGAGAGAGAGGGGCACCTGTCTGCCATGAACATCCTTCTGATATGATCCAAAGGGACCCCAGAGTGAGTCTGATCCACACCAAACACGCTCTGGGAGCCCCCTCGGCTCACCAGGATACACACGAAGCTGTCAGAGTCATGGTGCTGGGGCATCCGGGCAACTTGGCACAGAATGTCAGTTATATCTTTCATAGTGAGATATAAGAAATGCTTGACTTCATAGCCCAGGGAAGTGAAAGTGTCCCGAAGACTGTCTGGAAAAAACAAACAAGAAAAACAACCCAGGAGTAAGGAAAGCTCAAGAGACACTGGGTCACAATCCTCAACATGGTCTCATCTCCATTACTTGTCTGTTTCTGCTTTTTTGTCATAGTTTGAGGCTTTAACCTGGTGGCTCAGACGGTAAACAATCTGTCTGCAGTGAAAGTTCTATCCCTGGTTTGGGAAGATCTCCTGGAGAAGCCAATGGCTAGCCACTCCAGTATTCTTGCCTGGAGAATTTCAGGGGCCAAGGACCCTGGAGGGCTATAGTCCATGGAGTTGCAAAGAGTTGGACATGACTGAGCAACCAACATTTTCTTTTCTGAGGCTGTAAAGGTCCTGAGCAGAGAAGGCAACGGCACCCCACTCCAGTACTCTTGCCTGGAAAGTCCCATGGACGGAGGAGCCTGGTGGGCTGCAGTCCATGGGGTCGCAGAGAGTAGGACACGACTGAGCGACTTTACTTTCACTTTTCACTTTCATGCGCTGGAGAAGGAAATGACAACCCACTCCAGTGTTCTTGCCTGGAGAATCCCAGGGACGGGGGAGCCTGGTAGGCTGCCGTCTATGAGGTCGCGCAGAGTCGTACACGACTGAAGCGACTTAGTCAGCAGCAGCAGCAAAGGTCCTGAGAATGGGGCAGGAGGACAGAATCAGCCTGAAACAGGACTTATGAGACTCATGTCCCAGGTTCACAGTCACGGTCTGTCCCATTACATCTCTTTCCTTGACTGAGGCCACCACCAAATCTGGCCTCAGGCATGGACTGAGCCCACCTCTCATCTAAATGAAAGTGAAAAACACTTTCTTTTCAACCAAAACTTTTGTTCAAGGGGCTCCTTCTTAAAATAACCCACAAGTTCATAGGAATGAGTGCATTTGCAGAGTGCAGATCTAAATCCAGATCCAACAGCCACAGAAAGGTTGACCCAGGTCATGAGTTCCCTCACCTCTACACTTTCTTTTTCCTTATTTTAAAAAATTTATTTAATTGGAGGATAATTACTTTACAATATTGCGTTGGTTTCTGCCATACATCAAAATGAATCAGCCATAGGTATACATATGTCTCCTCCCTCTGAAACTTCCCTCCCACCTTATATTCTGGGCCTCCCTGATGGCTTAGATGGTAAAGTATCTGCCTGCAACACAGAAGACTTGAGTTCAATCCCTGGGTCGAGAAGATCCCCTGGAGAAGGGAATGGCAACCCACTCCAGTATTCTTGCCTGGAGAATGCCATGGAGAGAGGAGCCTGGCAGGCTACAGTCCATGGGATCACGAACAGTCAGACACAACTGAGTAACACTTCCACTTCACGTTTCAATTCACCAGGTAAGTCAGCAAAAGGGAGCAATGATAACCATCACCTGAGAATGTAGTGAAGCTATTCACTGTTGTCCTTCTGCCTGACCAGGAGGCGAGGGCAAAAAAAAAAATGAATTTTACATATATATATATATATATATATATATGTATAAATGCCATAATGAAGAGATACAAAAAAGGTGTCAATCTCTCTAAAATCCTATGACAAGCAACCTCACTTGTCCACTTGTCTACACAGGCTCTCGGAGTGGCAGACAAGGCGCAGCAGCACCTCCCGCTAGGCAAGGATTCCAAGGGTGAGGGTGCAGTCAAGGATTCCGAGGGTGTAGGCAAGGATTCTGAGGGTGCAGGCAAGGATTCCGAGGGTGTAGGCAAGGATTCCGAGGGTGAGGGTGCAGGCAAGGTTTCTGAGGGTGCAGGCAAGGATTCCGAGGGTGTAGGCAAGGATTCTGAGGGTGAGGGTGTAGGCAAGGATTCTGAGGGTGCAGGCAAGGATTCCGAGGGTGCAGGCAGGGATTCCGAGGGTGTAGGCAAGGATTCTGAGGGTGAAGGCAAGGATTCCGAGGGTGTAGGCAAGGATTCTGAGGGTGAGGGTACAGGCAAGGATTCTGAGGGTGCAGTCAAGGATTCCGAGGATGTAGGCAAGGATTCTGAGGGTGTAGGCAAGGATTCCGAGGGTGTAGGCAAGGATTCCGAGGGTGTAGGCAAGGATTCTGAGGGTGAGGGTGCAGGCAAGGATTCTGAGGGTGTAGGCAAGGATTCTGAGGGTGCAGGCAAGGATTCTGAGGGTGCAGTCAAGGATTCCGAGGGTGTAGGCAAGGATTCTGAGGGTGTAGGCAAGGATTCCGAGGGTGCAGGCAAGGATTCTGAGGGTGTAGGCAAGGATTCCGAGGGTGCAGGCAAGGATTCTGAGGGTGTAGGCAAGGATTCCGAGGGTGCAGGCAAGGATTCTGAGGGTGTAGGCAAGTATTCTGAGGGTGTAGGCAAGGATTCCGAGGGTGCAGGCAAGGATTCCCAGGGTGCAGGCAAGGATTCCCAGGGTGTAGGCAAGGATTCTGAGGGTGAGGGTGCAGGCAAGGATTCTGAGGGTGCAGGCAAGGATTCCGAGGGTGTAGGCAAGGATTCCAAGGGTGTAGGCAAGGATTCCGAGGGTGTAGGCAAGGATTCCGAGGGTGTAGGCAAGGATTCCGAGGGTGAGGGTGCAGGCAAGGTTTCTGAGGGTGCGGGCAAGGATTCCGAGGGTGTAGGCAAGGATTCTGAGGGTGTAGGCAAGGATTCCAAGTGTGTAGGCAAGGATTCCGAGAGTGTAGGCAAGGATTCTGAGGGTGTAGGCAAGGATTTCAAGGGTGTAGGCAAGGATTCTGAGGGTGAGGGTGCAGGCAAGGTTTCTGAGGGTGTAGGCAAGGATTCTGAGGGTGTGGGCAAGGATCCTGAGGGTGTAGACAAGGTTTCCGAGGGTATAGGCAAGACTTCAGGGCGCAGTTTGGGCTCAAGTGGGGCTGTACCATGAGAGAACCTGGGCGGGAACCCCAGGGCCATCCACTCTGCTTTATTCCAAACTCTCCCTTTCAGGGGTCACTCTCCAATCATGGAGCATATTCTCCCCTAGGGGGCAGAAGCAAACAGAGAAACACTGGACTCAAAGCTCTTTTGTTTACTTGTCTCAGACTGGCTTGAAAGCGAAAGTGAACTCGCTCAGTCGTGTCCTACTCTCTGCGACCCCATGGACTGTAGCCTACCAGGCTCCTCCGTCCATGGGATTTTCCAGGCAAAAGTACTGGAGTGGGTTGCCATTGCCTTCTCCAGGGTATCTTCCCAACCCAGGGATTGAAACCGGGTCGCCCACACTGTAGGCAGACACTTTACTGTCTGAGCCCCCAGGGAAGTCCAGACTGGCTTAGTCCCCTCAAAAGCCTCTTTTCAATGATAGACTGACTCCCTTACCAAAGCCCTTGAAAGAAAGCCACTTCCTCCCTTTCCATCCTCGTATGCAGGGGCCTGAACGGAACCCACGCTGTCCTGCGCCTTACTTAATTTCTTGCTTTGATCTGGGCTGCCTGCAGGCTCTGGCTGGGCTGTCGCAAGGCAGTCAACAGGCCACTGCATGAAACTGGGTAAAAGAGGAAGTCTTGGAATCACAAGGTCTGAGTTTCAGTCCTGACTTCTCCACTCACATACGGGTCTAAACCTTGTCTGGTCCTGAAAGAAGGCTAATTTACACTAACAGAAGAGCTAAGAAGGAGATGGGAATCTGAGGTCTAGAAGAACAGAAGGAAAAAGAATAAAGCTGGAAGTGGATCCAAAAGCCATACAGGTCCTCAAGGCCAAGTATAAGGCCAATCAGAACACCAGACCTGGATGGACCTCAGACCAAGACAGAAGATCTCTGAGGCAAATATTCCTGAGGCAACAGCCACTCAATGGACACGGTCTGAAGGGATCCCAGCTGGCATTTCCCATTAATACACCTTTTCTCTATCAGATGATGAGGACTGAGGCCAGCTGTTGTTTTTTCTTGACCCAGCAAGAACATGGATATAAGCCAGTCTATACAGGATCAAGATCATCATAGTGTGGCTTTGAAGAAATGACGTCTGTAACTTACTCATCTATAAAATGGATCAGTGACTATACCATGTCCTCTAGAAGGTAGCTGTAAGGATTCACTGACATTTCTGCCAAGATGCTTTGCAAACTGTAAGTGGTTATTCAAACATAAGATACTAGTTTGGGGACTTCCCTTGTGGTCCTGCGGTTAAGAATTCACTTGCCAATGCAGGGAACATGGGTTCAACCCCTGTTCTAGGAAGATCCCACATGCCATGGGGCAGCTAAGCCCACGGGCTGCAACTACCAAACCCTGCGTGCCTAGAGCCTGCGCTCCGCAACAAGAGAAGCCACTGCAGCGGGAAGCCAGCATACCACAACAGGGCAGCCCCTGCTCACCGCAGGCAGAGAAAGCCCGTGTGCGGCAACAAAGACCAAAATAGTCAAAAATAAATATAAGTAAATAAAATTTTTTTTAAAGATATTAGTTTTAAAGAATATAAAGGCAGCCACTTCGTCACAAATTATACAGCCTGCCTGTGATGCCTCTCTTGCATGGAATCTACTTCCTTAGAAACCAGTGTGCTAAGTCACTTCAGTCACGTACAACTCTGTGCAACTCCATGGACAGAGGAACCTTGCAGGCTACAGTCCATAGGGTTGCACAAGCAAGCATACTGGAGTGGGTTGCTATTTCCTTCTCCCGGAGATCTTCCCAACTCAGGAATCAAACCCGTGTTTCTTATGTCTCCTGCATTGGCAGGCAGGTTCTTTACCACTAGTGCCACCTAGGAAGCCCCTTAGAGTGAAAGCTAACTAAAATGGACTCAGAGTAGCCAGATTCAGATTCTGCACCCCCATGTATCAACAGTAACTTCCCTGTCCTTCTTTGCAAATAGGGGAAGAAAAATGTGGGTGTTGAGTTTGGAAAGTAAAACTTCAACTGACGGCAGAAGTCCCACTTCTTCTTCTACGCATCTTAGAAACTCCACACCTGACCCAACCCTATCTCTGTAAAATTCAGCTGTTCCTTTATTAACCTCCTGAGAGGGTTTTTTCTGGTCTGACAGTACAGGGCTGTTAGGGAAAAGCAAGAAGCAGCATTGACCACCAGCTTGT